CATAAATCAATAAATGTGTTTCTCTGAGTTCTATTAGCCACTCTAGCAAATTAATTGAACCTGAGGGGTGGATTGTGGGACCCCCAATTTATAGCTAGTCATTCAGAAGCATAGGGGAAAGACTGGCACCTGAAAAGCTGGGGCAGGGAAGGTCGGGTCAGTCTTAGAGATTTTCTCAACCTATGGGATGTCAAACACACACACACACCAGGCAGAAGGTGTGAGAGCTGAACTGAATTACAGGACAGCCACTGGTATCCTTTGTGGAATCAACTGCTTGTCTGGGGGGCTGGGGGGAGACCCCACACATTTGGTGTCAGAAGGGATCTGTGTTGGGGGAGTAGGAGAAACTGAGCCTGAGTTAGTTTTTTTTCTATTTGCATGAGCAGCAAGGATTTCAGAAACCAGGGCAAGAACATTATGCTGTGTGTTGACGCTTATTATGTTGCAGGCAGGGATGGGAGTTCTTGGCCTCCAGGATCTGGAAAGTGTTTCCTCGTGCATGTGCTATGACACTTGCCACATCCTGAGAACGTCCCATGAGAACATCCCCATGGGTCCTTGTCTTCTCTTTACTCATGCCTTGCTTGTCCCCGATCCCCATCCAAGTGCTCTCTCTATGCAGAGTCCACTTCAAATGTAATGAGCCTCCCTTTTCCTCCCCGGGTGAACTGAGCACAATCGTCAAAAGATGAAACCACCGTAAGCATGCAGAAAGCACTGGACCTCGATGGACCTGTAGGTCATTTTCTGTCAGGCTTTCTTGCTTTTCACAACTTCAGCTGTTGCCACTTCTAACTTTAACTGAAGTGTTCCCTCTTCTCCCTGTCAAGTCAGTAAGTCTTTGCTGTCTTTAACCAAGGAGAAAAGATCTATTAAAATGTAAATGAAACAGAGGGTCTGAATCAAGGTGCTACCATAAATACTGCTGTAGTTTGCGACTTCCTCTCATTCCTTTTGCATTCCAAAGGGACCCTGCCTCCTCTGAGATAAATATTTGGGTTGACAGTAATTGTAAATCAAAGTGTAGGATCAGTGGCATTACCCTGGCACCTCCGGTCATGGTCACCGCGCCCTTCCCGAGCGCTCTCCATCTGCCATCAGACCGAAAGGCTCGGGCTGGGTCCTCCTCACACCTTGCTCAGCACCCACCTCAGCCTCCCACACTTTCCCCGCCACCTCCTTCTGCTTCACATCCACCTGCAGAACAGAACACTGCTTTCCATTAGCATTCGGTGTAGGTGGCACCAGCTCCCCGCTACACACACACCCTGGGTGTGCTGGAAAGAGCTCTGGCCTAAGTAGCTTCGGTGTTCTACACGACGGTTGGGATGTAAAGTATTCAATAAGACTGTGGAGTGAATGAATATATGTTTGTCATCATATTATGAAATAAAAATAATGCCAAGAAGTATATACGAGGCAGAAGAGAGAGGCCTTTGGAGCTATGCCGTGAGAGCCAGGTGGAAGCTGCTGGGCATCCTGACGCACCCGAGCTTGGTCCTCTCACTAAATTAGATGCAGTGGCCCTGATGACGGTCTCTTTTACTCCCAGCCTCTGCTACCAGCCCCACCTTGCTGTGGACCTGAACAGAGACACGGAGCAGCTTCTGTTGTCTTTCCTCACCACCTTGCCTCTTGCCTTGTGTCCTGGACCCCCCCACACACAGCCTAACTGCCCCTGACCCCTTTCCTCTGCTTTCCCTCTTTTCCTCCTCATTCATAGGGCTTCTCTAAGTTTAGGTGTCTCTGAGCCACTACACTGGTGGCTTTTTCCGCCTCCTCATTCCCCTCACCTACACAGGCATCAAAGCAGCAGGAATGTGAGTGTCCAGCATCGATTTGGAAGCAGCTGGCAGCCTTTGGTCTTCACAACAGACTCAGGAAAGGTTTGAGCTGCCATCTGCCACAGCAGCCTGCAGAAATTTCTGTGTCAGTATCCTGCTCCCGGTGGCCAGCTTGAAGGGACAAGGAATGTGCACTCCTGAACATGTTCAAGTGTCTCAGGCCAGTCGTGTTACTTGATTCTCAAAAAGACACACAACCCAGAAACGAGGCTGACACATGCATAACCTGGTCACTATCCGGAGCCCGTGGGACTGAAAGCCTGATCTTCCATCTATTTCCTCGGTTTATTTCCAAAAAGGCCTGCCATACTTGGAAAAGGGCTTACAAAACTAGTTTCTCTGCCAGCCAGATTTTGTTATTTAAGCTCAGTTATGGTAAATCTAGTAAACCATAGCCTCTTTCCCCAGAAAGGGAATCTACAGAGATGGGAAAGTCAAGCTTCCCTACGCAAGTGCCCTGCTTAGCTCCAAAAGTGATCCTGAAAGAACCAGGCTCAGGCAACGGACGGCACGGGCCGGCCAGCCGGGCTTACCTGCGCTCCGGGAGGCACTGGGAGCCAGGCCCGCCCCCGCCGCGGGGAGGAAAATCAAGGGCTTCGGCTCTGCCACGCGCAAGGCTCTGCGCCCCCGGGGTCGTCCCTGGGTCTCCTGCGGGGAGAGAGCCAGCGCCAGCAGGAGAAGAGCGGGCAGCGGGCCTCCTGCCTTCGCCGGCCCCATGTCCTTCGCGGTGCAGGAGCGGACTGGATGCCCAGGGGGTCGGGGGGGGGGGGCTGCGGCCCAGAAGAGGGGCGAGGGCGCCGAGGTCACGCTGCCCGCAGGGCCCGAGTCCGCACAGCCGGCCGCCTGGGTCTGCGCGGCCAGGGCGTCGGGCGACGGCGGCCCCGGACTCGGCGGCGCGCGGGTTGAAGTCTGCGGCGGGGAGCGCGGGGCG